TCTGAAGCACTGTCCTCAGGTGCTGCTCATGATCTTCCCGACTCTGGGAGTATACAAGAATATCATCAATAAAGACAATGACGAACGAGTCAAGATATGGCCGGAACACACTGTGCATGAAATGCATAAAGGCTACTAGGGCATTGGTCAGCCCAAATGACATAACAAGGAACTCGTAATGACCATACCGAGTTCTGAAGGTAGTCTTCGGGATATCTGGCTCCTGAATCTTCAACTGATGGTAACCTGAGCACTAGTCAATCTTAGAAAACACCTGTGCGCCCTGAAGCCGGTCAAACAGATCATCAATACGAGGCAAAGGATAACGGTTCTTCACAATAACCTTGTTCAACTGGCGGTAATCAATTTACATACGCATAGAACTATCCTTTTTCTTCACAAACAAGACAAGAGCACCCCAATGCGATACACTAGGATGAATAAAACCCTTATCAAGCAATTCCTGTAATTGATTCTTCAACTCTTTTAACTTAGGAGGAGCCATACGATACGGAGGAAGAAAAATGGGTTGAGTGCCTGGCAACAAATCAATGCCAAAATCAATTTCTCTATCAGGCGGCATGCCCGGAAGATCAGCCGAAAACACATCAGAAAAATCTCGTACTACTGGAACTGAATCAACTGAAGGGGTATCAATACTGACATCTCTCACATAAGCTAGATACATGTCACACCCCTTCTCAGCCATACGCTGAGCTTTAAGAAAAGAAATGACTCTACTAGGAGTGTGATCTAAAGTACCCCTCCACTCAACACGCGGTACACCTAGCATAGCCAATGTCACGGTTTTGGCGTGAAAATCATGAATAGCATAATGGGGCGACAACCAGTCCATGCCCAAGATAATATCAAAATCTACCATGCTGACTAACAATAAGTCGGCTCTGGTCTCAAAAACACTAAGAGCAACCAAACACGACCAATAAACGTGATCCACAATAAGAGAATCTCCTACAGAAGTAGAAACATAAATAGCGGAACTCAAAGAATCACGAGGTACACCCAAATGCGGAGCAAAAGAACAAGACACATAAGAATAAGTGGAGCCCAGTTCGAATAGAACCGATGCATCTCTATTAAAAACCAGTATAATACCTGTGATGATAGAATCAGAGGCAACAGCCTCGGTACGGGCAGGAAGGGCATAGTATCTGGCCTGGCCTCCCCCTCTAGGGCGACCTCTACCTCCCCGACCTGCACCTCTAGCTGGCTGAGCATGTGGGGGTAGCAACTGGAGCTGTAACCATAGCCTGAGAACTCTGCGGGGCACGCTGTGGCTGAGAAGTCTGTGGAAGTGCACCCCTCCAAAGTCTGGGGCGATCCCTCACCATATGGCTTGTGTCACCACACTCAAAACAAGCTCTGGGAGGACGAGGTGGCTGAGACTGGCTAGGGCCAGGTTTGCTGGACTGACCTCTGAAAGCACCCCGCGTAGGAGGTGCGCTAGAAACCGGGGGTTCATTATAAGGCTCTTGAGGCCTAGAAGGAGCTGGAATACCACTGGCTGCTCGAAGAGCTGAATGAACAGGGCGACTCACATAACCTCTACCATGACGACCTGCAGCTGGGGCACGGGTACCAGAGAAATGACCCGACTCTCGAGACCTCTTGGCCTCCCTCTCCTCTCTCTCCCTAGCATGCATACCCTCAATCCTCCTAGCAATGCTCACCACCTGCTGATAAGGTATATCAATCTCTAACTCACGAGCCATGCTAGACCTAATGCTGGGAATGAGCCCCTTGATGAACCGGCAAACCCTCTCGCGAACAGTAGAAACCAAGGCTGGCGCATGTCTAGCCAAGCTAGTGTAACAGACAACATACTCTGAGACAGTCATAGCACCCTGGCCGAAATGCTCAAACTCTGCGCGCCATGCGTCCCTGAGGTCTGAGGAAATAACTCTCTCAGGAACAGATCTAAAAACTGCGTCCAAGTCAGCGAATCAGCCTCGTCCGGACTGTCTATCTCATAGGTGCGCCACCACTCGTAGGCGGCTCCTCGAAGCTGGAAAGTAGTGAAGGAAACCCTGCTCGATCCTGATATACCCATGGTACGGAGAATACGGTAGCACTCCTCCAGAAACCCCAAGGCATCATTTGATGGTAATCCACTGAATATCAGAGGATCATATTTCTTGAACCTCTCAAGTCTCCGCTGCTTATCCTCTGAAGTCGCTGCCCTGTCCTCAGAATTAACTGGCACCGCAGACGGTACACGAATAATCTCTGGGACCTGATCAACATGCACTCGCTGCTCAGGAATGCGGGCGACGGGAGTCTGTGCTCCTCCCCCGTACTGAGATGTGGCTGCAGCAAGGGGAAGCAACCCCGCCTGAGCCAAAGTGGTGTACATGCTCATGAACTGCGCCAGACTCTCCTGAAGTGCTGGAGTAGTAGTAGCAGTAGGCGTATCAGGCGCCTGGACTCCGGCTGGAATGGCTGGTGGTACCTCGGCGGCAGCTCGTGCAGGTGCTCTGGCTGCACCACGCGCACGTCCTCGGCCTCTACCTCTGCCCCGGCCTCTGACGGCTGCAGTAGGGAGCGCGGGTGCCTGATCATCTTGGGTATAGCGTGTCCTCACCATCTGTGAGAGAATAAAAGCCATAAGTTTAGAATTGTGATGTCAAAATATCGCACGATAAGGAAATAAAATGAAGTGGAAATCTTCCTAACAGCTACATAGCCTCTCGTATATAAGTACAGATGTCTCCGTACCGATCAGCGAGACTCTAATAAACCGGCTTGTGATCCATGACTCCTACGAACCTAGAGCTCTGATACCAACATGTCACGATCCAAGTTCGCCCTCCGTGAACTGTCGTGACAAAAGGGGAAAGTAAACAAAACGTGTGGAAGAAATAATCAAAAGCCAAACATAACCGAACGAAACAATATTTAAAATGCCGCTCGGCATATACAACACAACTTCTCAAAATCTAATGCACTATCCAAAAACCCGAAAACTCACGGAAACACAAGCCTTTGAATATCTAACAGTGTCTAACTCAAGAATATCTAACAAGGAAAAGAAATACAGAATGGCAAACATTTAAAAGCTAGAATATAAAGGGACTCCTCGGTCTACGGACGCGGCAGATGTACCTAGAAGTCTCTAGAGCAGTCGCCTCGTCTCATAGGTGGTAGGACGGAGTCGACGTACCTGGATCTGCACATGAAAAACATGCACAGAAAGGGCATGAGTACACCACGATACTCAGTAAGTGCTAAGCCTAAGCTCAGTCGGGTAGTGACGAGGAAGATCAGGGCCCTACTAAGGTTAAATAAAATATAAAGTTCAACAGTATAGAACAGAACAGTATAAACAAGTGTAGCAAGAAAAGTAACACAAGATATAAAGGACAACAACAACTATTACAGAGACATGGTAAACACAGAAAAGAAATAAGGTCCAGCACCAAATAACAATCGGGGATCTACCAGGATACCGTCCTGTAGCCCCAAATATACATAACCAATGGATCTCCCTGGATCCCGTCCCGTAGTCCAACTCATAGTGCGCGGGGATCTACCGGAATCCCGTTCCGTAGTCCCAAATATAAATACCCAGTACTGGGAGAATCTACCGGGTGCATTCCCGTAGTTCCATATAACTATGTAGGGGGATCTACCGGAATTCCACATCCGTAGTCCCAAATGTAAACAGACATGGGGGAGCTACCGGAATCCCACATCCGTAGTCCCAATGTAAATTCACAGCAGCAACAAGCAAATATTCAGAAATGTCAAATTCCACATTAAGGCAAACTAGTAAGTCTAACCTAGCATGCTGCACAGAATTCAGGTAAAGCAGGTTGAGCAAATAAGGTAATTAAAACACTTAGACATGCTTTCCTAAGCTAACAACAAGTTTAATAGTGCAAGTAATAAGAACTAGAAAGAAAACATACTAGTAAATACTTAATGACAACCGGATTTTCAACAATTAGCACAAGTACGCACTCGTCAACTCACGTATAAGGCATTTTCAATTAACAACAATACCAAATCCTAGGGAGAGGTCCCCTACACAAGGTTAGGCAAGCCACTTACCTCGAACCAGCTCAATTCAACCCGAAACCACGCTCTTGCCACGAGTACTCGATTCCAAATGGCCCAAATCTATTCAATTCAATTGCATTATGTAAATAACACTTCAACTAACTGATTCTACATAGAAATTCTAAGGTAATATGCGAAATTAGGTAAATGACCAAAACGCCCCGCGGGCCCACGTCTCGAAATATGGTAAAATTTATATTTCTAGAATTCTCACACTCTCGCGAGTTCAGTCATACCGGACTTACCCAAATCGAACCTCAAATGGTCCCTCGAATCATCACTCAAAGGTCTCCAATTAGTCAAGCCCTAACCCCCCAATTACCACTGATTTTCCATAATTTTTCATGCTTAAATTGATAAAAATCATTCCAATAACGAGTTAAGGGACCAAAGACATTACCCCCATGAACTCCTCTAAAAATCCCTCTTCAAAAGTGCTTCCCAAGCTCCTTCCCGTTTGAAAAAGATGAAAAAATGGCTAAATTTCGCGATGGCAAGAATTTATATGTTCTGCCCAGCGATTACCGTATCTGTGGTCCAATAATCGCATTTGCGATACCGCTTCTGCGGTTCTCACTTAAAAGCTCAATCTCGCACCCGCGACCTCAAATTTCACATCTACGGTCACGCAGGTGCGGTTCCTTTTGTCGCTTCTGCGATTTCTGGCCCCCTTCCTCATTTCCGCTTCTGCGGTTAATCCGCTGCTTCTGCGCCTCCGCACCTGTGGTCCCACACTCGCAGGTGCGGTTATGACAGAAGAATAGCTGAAGATGCAACTCCAATTCCAAAAATCTTTCCATCAACCATCTGAAATCATCCCGAGGGTTTCATCTCTTTCAGCAATACCCATACCCTTACTAGGGTTTCTAACTCATCAATTTCCCATTTTTTGAGAGTTCTTTTCAGTTCCCCATTTCTCGATGGCAAACTCCGATTCTACTCCAGTTGTTCCTCCTCCTACTGCTGCCCCTCTCTCTGCAAGAAAAGAGAATGTGACACCGGCTAGCTCTAAAATTGCGGAATTGACAGAATCAAGGCAAGAGCTACTCACTAGGATTCAGAACTTGAAAACACATCTTCAAAGCTGGAGATCAAAGTTGGATGGCCAAGTAAAGGTCTATCGTGATGAATTGTCGGAGCTCAAGAAATCGCTGAATGTTTAAGTGGACCAACTGAGATCTGAATTTCAAAAGTTAAAAACAACTCTTCAACAACAACAGGAAGATGTCACTGCCAGCTTAAGAAACTTAGGGCTTCAGGATGTCTCAGAAGAAACAAAAGAGGCAGAAGATGCCAAGCCTAATAACGATGAAGAGAAGACTCGGGAGGAATTGCCAAAGGACAGTGGTAAAGATACTGAGCAGTAGACTGAATTATGCACATCATTTCCCTGAACTCATCTTCTCCGATGAGTTATGCTTGGGCTTGTGTGTTAGGTTAAGAAGTGTTCTATTTTCATCCATATGAGATCAAGTCTTTCATCGGAGTAGGTTTGATGGGATGATTTCTCTTTTTTCTAGCTGTTAGTTCAAGCATTCTACTATTAACATGCCCTGCTGGTGGCTATGTTACTTTTATTTTATCTTGAGCTTTTCTAGAACTGAAACTTTACCCTTTCCAAAAAAAAAAAAATCCCGAGGCCCCCGGGACCTCAACCAAAGGCACCAACAAGTCACAAACCACTAAACAAACTTGTACTAATCCTTAAAACACCTAAACAACATTGAAACCTTGAATTAAACATGGATTTGAGCCTAAGAACTCCAAAATTTCACAAAATACGCTTTCGATCAAAAAGTCTATCAAACCTCATCTGAATGACCTAAAATTTCGCACACACGTCACATTCAACACTACAGAGCTACTCCAACTTCCGTAATTCCATTCCGACCTCGGATCAAAATCTCACTATCGGACCGGAAACTTCAAAAATTCGACTTTCAGCATTTCAAGCCTAAATTAGCTACGGACCTCCAAAACACAATCCCATCACACCCCTAAGCCCGAAATCACCTAAAGGAGTTAACGGAACCATCGGATTTCCATTCCGAGACCATCTTCACACTGTTCCGACTACGGTCAACTTTCCAACACTTAAGCTCTCATTTAGGGACTAAGTGCCCCAAAACTCTCCGAAACTCAAAATCAAACATCCCGGCAAAACAAAATAGCAGAAATAAACATGGAGAAAGCAGTTAATAGGGGATCGGGGCGTTAATTCCTAAAACGACAGGCCGGGTCGTTACAAAAATGCGGGACGCTTTTAAAGGTCACACTTTTTTCTACTTTTATGGTAGTAATATAAAGGTATTCAATATTTTCTTCATTGGTGGTCTTAATATGATAGTCATTTTGGCAAATATCTTTGAAACTCAACAAGTTTTTTTGAGACCTACTATAGTATAATGAATCACTAATAGCCAATATAGTTCCTCCGGGTAGTAATACGGCTGCTCTTCGAGAGCCTTCAATTAATTTTTTACTACCAAATATTACTATGATATTGGTGTCTTTATAATAAAACAAGAGAAATATCTCTTATAGTTTAATATGGTATGCATCGTAGCATTATCCAGTAGACATATTTCTTCTTTATTATTCATATGGCCCACTGAAGACTGGGAAGTTTTTATATTCTTCATAAAGAAAAAAGATACAGTAATATTGAAAACTTAAGAACATATGAAGCTACACTTAGGAAAGTAAATACTGACAACATAAAAAGTTTTATCCAAAATACGAACTTCAATAAAAAGAATAACTATTCTTATAATTTTTATTTCCCAGTAATAAGTCTTCAGTTACGATGCTCAAAGAAGTCTCCAGCTTCTAAACGGGTAATATCTGTAAGGCCTTCAAAAATATCATCTTTATATGCAAGGTTTGCTTCAACTTTATCATGATTATTCATACTGCTCGCCTCAACATCATATTGAAAGTCCAAGTGAGTCTCAACTTTATTTTGTTTTCCTTTTATAGAGGCTTGATAATGTTTGACAAAATGTTCAGGCGTACAATAAATTCGTACCTAATAATTTATCCTACCACATCGGTGGAAAATTTACCTTTTTATTTTGAAGGATTATTCTAAGAACCCTTATAGTTATCTTGTTTATAACAACCACCACTATAACGATTACTATTTCTTCCCTTGCTATGCCCATGTACATTCATACGCCATGGTAATTATTTAGTCTTTTCAGACTTTTGATCTATCGCTACCACATTCGCTTCAGGGAATGGAGCAGATCCAGTGGACGGGCTTCATAATTTTCTTTTTAATTTATTAAAAGGGTATTATTTTGCCTCAGCCATCATTATGATGCATTGGAATCAAAACCAATATATTACTACTATATATATATATATATATATATATATATGAGGAGAAGGAGGAGGAGGACGAACACAGCTATAAAAGTTCTACTATTTGCTATATTGCAAGTATCTACAGAGATAAATTGGTAACTTTGCTCCTTTCATTGTCATAAAGACATATGTACTTTGCATAACACGGGTCGTGCCTTTTTTTTTGGTGAAAAAGATGGTTATATTATCGCTAAGCTCGTAGAAGAGAGCCATTTACAAGATGCCTTAGAGACATCATATTTACATTAGTAGTAGACAGTGCTAAGGTCCCCGTATAGGAACCAAGACTACAAGCTAAAAACTTGAACTAGGGAATATGTTACTATAGTTACTGAGTACAGTACTAGTAGTAGATCTAATTACACATAACAGACTGACTTTTAATCATTCTTCTTCTAAGCAGCCCTGCTTGATCTTGTTCATGGTAATTTGAAGCAAAAGGTGGTGGACTTTCAAAAATGAGACAGGTCGCCTTTGCATATAGAGCTCCATAGTTGGCCAAGCAGTTTGCCACACTATTTTGCTCCCTGTAGATATTGTTGAGAGGGGGGCTATCCAGTTGTCGGAGTAATAACCTGCAATCATTAAGTATATTAGTATATTGTATTGTAGTGCTATTAAACATACCGAGTAAGGCTTGTGCATCTGTCTCAGTAATGAGTGGTGTGAGTTTCTATTGCACAGCAATTTTCAAGCCCATGAGCAAAGCAAGAAGTTCTGTCTGGATAGGTGTCCCAGGTATTGCTTTCCCTGCAAATCCTATGATCCGGTCGTCTAGATGATTACGAAATATACCACCAACACCATATGTATTCTGTTGGTGTGAGCAAGTTCCATCAATGTTAAGGTTGTAATGGAAATTGTTTGGGGGGTGCCATTTGATATAAAGAGGCATTTTATTGTATTTTTTTTAATGGGATTCGTAAGGTAATAAAATTGTGTTGCCTTTTTTAGAAGGATAGCTATGTCCAGAAAGGTTTTCTTATGATCTAATGTATTTTTGTTACGAATAATCCAAAGCTCCCATAATGCAAAGGCATAAGAGTGGTATTGGGAAGTGTATGGTGTTTGTATGTTGACTGCTGATGAATAAAATGGTGTAACCACCATGTAGTATGATTGTAAGATAGAGGCGAGCTTGCATAAATAGTTGACATCTTGAGCATAGCCCACAGATGTACAGCCACAGGGCATTCTAGGAATAGATGTTGTAAAGTTTCAGGAGCCATATGGCATTGCCAGCAAGTGGAGGAGTTAAAAATACCTAAGTGAGATATGCATTTGTTGGAAGGCGATTATGACATAGTAACCATAAAAAGAAAGAAATTCTCGTAGGAACATGCAGTTGCCAAATCCATTTAAAGTCATTAATAGGATCAGTAGTTATACAAGTTTCATTAGTGAGGATAGCATTGTACATGGATTTGACTGAAAATATGCCATTATGTGTGAGAGCCCAAAATATTTGATCATAGGTTGTAGGGGCAAAAGGCATGTAAATAGTAGTGATAACATGTTGTAAATTAGGAGGTAAACAAATAGGTAATTTATTAAAATGCCATTTATGATTATAATAGTAGTGTGAAACTGTTTTGTTATTTTCATATTGTGGAAGAGGTCCATATATGCAATTACGAAGTAAAGTATTCTGATTAATCCAAGGTTCATGCCAGAATTTGACATAATGTCCCGAGGCTAGGTTCCATTTATATCCTAAACCACAATATGACCATCTATGTAGAATGTTACACCAAGTTCTTGAAATATTTTTTTAATCAAATGAGAAGGTCTTATATAATTATGCAATAAAACCTGTGCCCATAGTTGAGTAGGGTTGTTAAATAACCTCCAAGCAAGGCTTGCATGTAAGGCCTTATTTTTGATAGAGAGGTTTTGGATGCCCAGTTGTAACGACCCGACCGGTCGTTTTGAGTTCTAGCGCTCCGTTCAGCAACCTGAGGCTGTGAGCAGCTTCATTTCAGGTATTGTGACTGGTGCGCGTGGTCGGAATTGAATTTCGGGAAGTCCAGAGTTGATTTGGAAAGAGAATTCTCATTTCGAAAGCTTAAAGTTGAAAGAATGAACTAGGATTGGAATTTTGAGTAAACGACCTCGGAATCGAGATCTGAAGGTTCCAGCAGGTTTGTATGATGATTTCGGACTTGGGCGTATGCCCTGATCGGGTTTTGGATAACCCGGGAGCGTTTTGGCGCCTATTATGGAAGTTAGCATTTTTTAAGAAATTATATAAGTTTGGCTTGAAGTGCATTTCAGTGTTATCGATTCCGTTTGGGATTCTGAGTCTGTGAATAGCTTCGCATGGTGATTCTGAAGTTAGGAGCGCGATCGGAAGTGAATTCGGAGGTCCGTAGGTCATTTTGGAGTCATTTGGCTAAAGATAGAAATTTGAAGGTTTTCGAGAAGTTTGACCGGAAGTGGACTTTTTGATGTCGGGGTCGGAATCCGATTCCGAAAGTTAGAGTAGGTCCGTAATGTCAAATATGACTTGTGCGCAATATTTGAGGTCAATCGGACGTGATTTGATAGGTTTAAGCATGGAAAGTAGAAGTTGGAAGTTCTAAAGTTCATAAAGCTTGGATTGGGGGTTGATTCATGATTTTTACGTTGTTTGATGTGATTTGAGGCCTCGAGCAAGTCCGTAATGTGTTTTGGGACTGGATGGTAGGATTGGTTGGGGTCTCGGGGGCCTCGGGTGGATTCCGGGTGGTTAACGGATCGAATTTGGAGTTTGGAAGAGGGCTAAACTGCTAGTTGCTATCATAACCGCACCTGCGGAAAAGGGGCCGCAGGTGCAGAGCCGCAGAAGTGGCTAGGAAGGCGCAGGTGCGGATTTTGGTCAAAGGCTTGAGGACCGCAGATGCGGTCAAGGTCCCGCAGAAGCGGGACCGCATCTGCAGAAGGCAGGTCGCAGAAGCGGAAGAGGGGCAGCTGGAGTGGACCGCAGATGCGGTCAATGTTCCGCAGAAGCAGGACCACA